TTGCCAAATTATTTAACACGCGATCGTTCATGTCGGTTCATTTCCTTTGATGTTTTCTGTCTTTTATTTGCGCCTGATGCGTTTCGCTGTGGAGCGGGGCGCATCACCTTGTCATCCGGTGACGCACCGATCACTGATGCAGCCGGCGAGCAGCGAGCACTCCGCTGTTTTTGCGGTCGGTAGATCTTTTAGAACTGCAGTTCAAAGGTAACTCATAAGGTGAATATATATGAACCCAGGTAGCAGTTTCTCTTTAGGATTGAGAGGAGATGCAGGAAGATAATAAACAGACAGGACAGAAAAATAGTAAAATAAAAACAAGTTAGTTTTTGTACCTGCTGGTTGCAACAAACAGACACCATTGAAGGTAATCAGAAGTGAGGAACAGAAAATGAAATAATTATTTTAATGTTTAGAGCAGCAGGAACTCTGAGAGGCTGCAGGCGCATCAGTGAGTTTGCGGCCGCTGCGCAGGGGGAGGGGGGAGAGGGCTGAAGCAGGGGGAGGGGGGAGAGGGCTGAAGCAGAAACTACCGTTGTTAAAAGAAATGTGTTTAACTTTGAAAATGTGGGCGCAATTTTAATTGTCAAAAACTCCAGCGAACCATTAGTTCATTTTGCTCAAATAGAAATAGAGGCCTGCCTCTAATACTGGCCCTCCTTCCAATAAAGGCCTGGAGCTTGATGAGCTTGAGTCAAATACAGGCCCGGGCCTGTATTAGAGGATTTACATATGTTAATGGTTTAACAATGCCATCAATAACTTTTTACTGTTACCATATCATATCATTCCAATCTGTGCTGGTTTTGTTCTTAAGTCCTCTAACTATGTCATAGATCTCTTTCTCTTCAACTGCTCTCAAAAACATTGTGCTTCTATTCCTTTCAATATTTTCAGTGTCCCTTTCTATTCCATCAACCTTTATTTCTTCTGCCAGTTTTGGCCCTATGTTTACAAAGAATTCATTAAAACCATCTACTGTCTCCTTCCTATTATTAATGCTTCTTGTCCCTTCCATAAAGTACCCAGGGTAATCATTATTCCTTGATTTATTTTTGATTATGCTGTTTAATACCTTTCATATATCTCTAGTGTTATCTTTATTATGTTGTAACCTTTTAATGAAATACTCTCTTTTACATGATCTCATTATATTTGTTAATTTATTTTTGTAATTTTTATACTTCCTTTCAGTTTCTATTGTTCTCTTTTTTATGAATTCTCAATATAGGGTGTTCTTTTTTTTTTTGCTGGCATTTTGTAGTCTTTAGTCATCCATGGTCTTCCTGCATTGTAGTGTTTCCTGTTGATTTCAATTACTGGGCAGTTTTTATCAAGTAATGTGTTAAATGTTCTTAAAAATACTTCATACGCTTCATTAACTTCTGTTTGTTCACATACCAAATTCCAATCTTGTTTTAAGAGTTCATTTCGAAGACAGTTTAATGTCCCCTCTGTTATTCTTTTGTACATAATCCTGTGCCCATCACTTTTCACTTTATGGTGGCAATTCTAAGACGCAAAGACTGGTAAATGGTCAGTTATATCGTTGATTAACAGCCCACTTTTTATATTTTCTTCTATTGTATTTGTAAATATATTATCTATTACAGTTGCACAATGAGATGTTATTCTGGTCGGTCTTGTTATCTGTGGAAATAAACCCATGCTGTACATGGAATCAATAAATTCTTCAGTACTCTTATTATGATTTGGGTTCAGTAGGTCAATATTAAAATCCCCACAAATAAACATCCTTTTCTGATTTATATTTGTAAATAATTCCTCCATATAATCCTTGAATATCTCAATCTTGGATCCTGGTGTTCGGTATATACATTTGACAATTAAGTTTTTCCCTTTTCCATACTTATTTCCACTGTTAAACATTCCATCACTCTAACAACAATCGTCATTCTTCCCATTCTTTCATATTTTAGGTTTTTATTAATGTAAAGTGCCACCGCCCCTCCTTTCTTGTTGACCCTGTCTACATGAAGAAATTCAAATCCATTTATTTTAAAGTCTTCTTCTTTTCCAGGAGTTATCCAGGTCTCTGATATGGCTATTACCTTGAATGGCTGTTCAAACTGAGTTATGTAGTCTTTATGGCTTGAAAGTTTGTATATAAGCTTCAACTACTAAAGTGAACCATTGTTATACCCTTTTCTACCTTGATTGTCTTTTTAAGTTGCTCATTTGAATAATTGCATTCATTTACTGTGAAAGAAATTACAATCAGGATCTATATTGCTGTCATACCCCAATGTGTCATGTTGCGGGGGTGTGAAGATGATGGACCATGTGTGGTGGAGGGTTCCAGGAGGCAGGAATGCAGGCACGGGTAAAGTAAAAATGGGTTTAATGACAGGATACGGCAGGAACGAGAACAACACGACAAACAACAATGATCTGACAAAGACTGGCACAAGGAGGGAGGTATAAATACACAGGGAAATCAGGAACACATGGGCAGGTTAACGAGGGACAGGTGAGAACAATATGGATCAATCAGGGCAGGAGAGAGACACAGTCAGGAAGGCAGGGACAGATCGTGACAGTACCCCCCCCCCCACCCCCCCCCCCCACCCCCCTTAAGGGGCGGATACCAGACGCCCAAAAGGCCACACAACACAGGAGACTAGGGAACACCGGAACACTTGACTTGGGACAGGAACACTTGACTTGGGACAGGAGGACAAACCGCAGCAGCCGGGATGGGACCCTGTGGTAACTGCAGCAGCAGGCGTGGAACTCAGCAGGAACTGCAGCAGCAGGCATGGGACCCAGCAGGAACCGCAGCGTGAAGGACCTGCAGGCATAGACCCTGCAGGCGTGGACCAGGAAGTGGGACGAAACAGCAGGAGCGACGCGAGGGAACCAGGAGCGGTAGCAGGTACTCAACCACTGTTCTGAGCAGGTGCACACCGTGACTCGACAGGATCCACAGGCAGGCTCGGGTGAAGGGAAACAGACCACGGAGCAGGAAGACCAGCCCTACCACCCCGGAGAATGATGGCATGCGTAGGGGGTTTTACCTCCATCAAAACTCCAGGAAACGACAGCTTCCGTAAAAAACAGGAAGGGGCAGAACAGCAGGAGAGGAGAAAAGACCTTGACCACCCCGGAAACTGATAGGATGTGCCAGGATCACCCAGAGGGCTCGACCACCCCGAGAACAGGTAGGATGCGCCGAGAAACACAACTCCAGGCCGGAATCTCCCTCCGCTGAAAAGGGGGAAAAAAAGAAAAAATAATCCTCCAGAAAAACAGGTGTTAGCTCACCACAGGTCCAGGTTTGGTCAGATCATTCTGTCATGTTGCGGGGGCATGGAGATGATGGACCATGTGTGGTGGAGAGTTCCAAGAGGCAGGAATACAGGCACGGGTAAAGTAAAAATGGGTTTAATGACAGGATACGGCAGGAACGAGAACAACACGACAAACAACAATGATCTGACAAAGACTGGCACAAGGAGGGAGGTATAAATACACAGGGAAATCAGGATCACATGGGCAGGTTAACGAGGGACAGGTGAGAACAATATGGATCAATCAGGGCAGGAGAGAGACACAGTCAGGAAGGCAGGGGCAGATCGTGACAGTACCCCCCCCCCCCCCCCCCCCGTTAAGGGGCGGATACCAGACGCCCAAAAGGCCACACAACACAGGAGACTAGGGAACATCGGAACACTTGACTTGGGACAGGAACACTTGACTTGGGACAGGAACACATGGGCAGGTTAACGAGGGACAGGTGAGAACAATATGGATCAATCAGGGCAGGAGAGAGACACAGTCAGGAAGGCAGGGGCAGAACGTGACACAATGTCTTATTTTCATTATCTATATGAGTTGTCAGTTGTAAACTGTCAGCCATCTGAGTTGGTTGTGCATCTTAGATCTTCCCCTCATATTTCGCTCTAATTTGCATACTGATTTATCATTTATATTTTTCTAGTTCCTTTGATGACTAGAACCTTAGCCTGCTCTGGTGTTCCATTCAACTTAACGAATATTTTACAGTCTGACGTCCAAGTTGCCTGTATTTTCTTCTGTTTTCTCAAAACTCTTGCTTGTCTTGCTATGTCTGCATTTTTCTTGATTAGATGTTCATTTAAATATATATTTGTACCTCTTAGCTTTCTTCCTTGTTTGAGCAGTTCTTTTTTCTGTTTTCTATTAACAAAACGAATGATAATGGCTGGTAATTGCTTTTTGTTTTTCATTGGAAGAGGATGGCATCCCTCAATATTATTACTGTCCATTTCAATACCCTTGCTGTTGAACAAAGTCATTACCTGCTCTTCCAGAGTGCGTAGTTCTTGCTCAGGTGGCTCTCCTTTTTCTGAAGCTGCCACCCGTGCATATGTTTGATGCTTGGTTTGCAGTCCTGTCACTTTCACATCATTTACTCTTGTATATTGTTCCAGATCTGACACTCATCCTTCCAGCAAAGCGATCTTCTTGTCCTTGTCCTCGCTCAGCCCTAGTTCTTTAATATCATCCATTAAATATCAGTTTTTGTTGTTTTGAAATTGTTGTTCTTTCTTCTGGCATAAAGTTTAGTGATTTCTTCATGTCTTCCAGTTCCTCCTCATTAATGTTGCTCCTCTTAGGTGGCATCTTATCAGCGTTAAGGGCCGCTGGTTGTGAAGCCGGCGTGGTCTGTCAGCTAGCCTCGTTAGCCGGTGGTGGAGCCCGCGTTTAGGGTCCAGAGTCTGGTGGTGGAGCCCCAGTAGAGCTTGGTCTGGTAGCTGGAGCAGAACCTGTCGCATTTAGGAATTTAAGCACACATGCTGGGTGATTTAAACACCCACACACTCCACAGCTTGCTCTGTTACTGGCCAATCAGCGGTGTGAGGGGTCCAGTCCCCAAAGTTCATATTTAACATGTTCAACTATCAGTCAGTAACAGTGTGTGTGTGTGTGTGTGTGTGTGTGTGTGTGTGTGTGTGTGTGTGTGTGTGTGTGTGTGTGTGTGTGTGTGTGTTCCCCAGCAATGGTACACCAGCACAATGAACCTTGTAGGAACATGGCTGACTGACCGCATGGACCTGCAGCTGCATCTTTATCAACTGAAGATACTCATCAGGATTGTCAAGGTGAGTAACACACACACACACACACACACACACACACACACACACACACACACACACACCCACCCAAGTTCTAATCGTTATTTTTTAAGAAGGGTAAATAAAATGAACGGGATTCCCACTGAGGGGTGATCATGGAGCTCCAGTACCATGATGTACTCTGCACCTGACTTTTTTTCTCTTACGATCTGTAGGTCCAGCTGAGACTGTTTGTTTTTCACTGTCACTTCTGTTCTTGCAGTGATGATTCCGGTCTGTGCAGTGGGATCAGACACTAGCAAGTGCTAAACTTTGAAACCCCTTGGGCGTGTTTGCGTAAGCGTATGATTAGAGTTTTAGTCGTGATTCCATTAGATCCTACTCAGCGCGACTTGTCTTAACTCGACTCCACTGCACACATTTCTGGAAGATATTCTAGGGCAGTGATCCGCAAATGGCGGCCCGCGGGCCACTTCCGGCCCGCGAGCCCTCTCTTTGTGGCCCCCAAACCCTGCGCGCACCCCCCCCCCCCCCCCCCCCCCCCCCGACGGCCGACTGGGAGGTGTAGGATAGAGCTGAGGAAAATAATCAAATAATCAATGCATGAGATGTGGGCATAAACGATTTTGCATCACAGAAGAGAACCATAATCAGTTATAGTGGAATGTAGTTGTGTTATTTTAACGGCGACACCAACGCAGCATCCAGACCTGTCAGAGCGGTGTTCTCCACATTTACCGGGTAGGAAACTTTGGTCTGCCTTTATGTGGTTCTGCAGGGCTGGAGTTGTAACCTGAGACCGAACCTGAACCGAATCAGCCCGACCGGTTCTGTCGGATTTGGGCCGTAAATTATGTTAATTGAGCGGGTTGCCGCTCGCTCGATCAACGACTGGGAGAGAGGGGGAGATTGTCTGCTCACACGAGAGGATCAGAGGACGCTCCTCCAAACATGCATTATTATTTTCATAATTTCATTATTGTTTCTCCTGGAAGCGCTCAATCAGAACAAGTGCTGTGATGTCGGGAGATCTGGTCTTCAGGAGGGGGGCGGGGTCAGCGTAATCATCTGTCTCTTTTATTTAGGGACACGGAGAAGTTAAAAGGAGAGAGAAATAGAAGATAGAAGTTCTTGTTCCACTTTATTCTTTTGTTTCATGATGATAAACTGATGTTAAATTCAGCTTAAAGAGAAACTGGGAGGAAGCTTTGGTTCATTTTAAGTTACAGGAGGTCTTGTTTCCTATCTGCTCCTCCAGAGACAGCGTGGACATGAGGGTGAAAGGGTGAGGGTCCCACAGGACAGGTTAGTGCAGTCACACAGCCGAGCTGGAGGGGGACAGGTGTTGTCCTTCTTTATATGGCAAGCTTGTGTGTTATGTGCATTACAGCCAGCGATCCAAACAGGTACCCCCCCCCCCCCCCCCCCCGGCCGTCTTGATTCTGGGTCTTTTTTGTTTGTGGCCCTCAGACCATTACAATTGAGGACCCCTGATCTAGGGGCTGGGCTCATCACAGCAGAGGGGATGGAAGTTTAGTCACTGGTCCTTTGTAATACTCTGAACATGGAAAAGGCTGAAATCAGGAAGTTCAACCAGTGACTCCACTCCAGGTGTTTGGGTCAGCTCTACCAGCCTGCAGCCTAGTTACAGGTATTGTATCGCTTCAGTGCCTTTAATAGCTTTTTGTTCTCCTATTTGTCAGAAAAAGTATCGTGACTTCCGTCTCCAAGGGGTGTCGGACTCCACGTTGAACAGTAAAATGTACGATACGATAAGAAACCGCCTGACCTTGGAAGAAGCCACCGCCTCAGTGAGAGAAGGAGGGATGCAAGGCGTCTCTATGAGGGACAGCGATGACGACGACAATAATCACTAGATCAAAGGTCTCAAGGTCACCAAAAAGTCAAGGCTTTTCAGATGGTGAGCCCAAACTGCCTTTACTTTAGCTCAGAGCAGATCATCTTATCTTGTTTGTGATTCTGAGATAGTTACATATTCCTGTTGGCGACCCTTAAAGTTAGTATTTAACCCTCCTTCAGTTCTAGCTTCTCACCAGTACAAATGATGTAACGGTAAAATGATTCTGTTAACTAAAATATAAAACACTCTGTACTTATGTGTAAATTTCATCATGAAATCTTGCAAAGCCTTTCTTGTTTTAATTAAACAGTGAAACAAAAGCAGCTAAATGAATCCAGAACATATTTGTTATGTTGTTACAAACACCTGACAAAGTGAGCTAACAGCCGATCTTTATCGTTAGCAATGACTGGCCCTAACCCTCATCAGAACAGAGCACAACAAGCATAACTATTTCCTTACACCCGGTGTGTGTTTTATAGTACCGTTCCAGTAAGAAAACCTCTTCTATTATCAACTGTTTGGATCAGTTTTTACTTTGGGTTTTTGTTGATGTAGGCCGTTATACTGTGATTCAAGAGGAACTGGGTTATTATTACAATTCATTTCAATTCAAAGATACTTTATTAATCCCAGAGGGAAATTAGAATGTCAGTACACATGATTCTGAGATCAGACATACACACATGACAAGAATTGGTGACTGTGGTCATTCGCAACCCGAGTCGAGCTACCTTAATAGAGATCAGAGGGTTTACATGAGGATAGAGTCAGGGGGAGGAACAAAAGGCACTTCAGAGTTACCCTCCACCAGGAGGGCAGCTTTGCTCTGCAAAAACCACCTCAGACAGAAATACACACAGACTTCAGACATCACCCAACATAAGTGTCCACTAGGTGGGGAGGTAGGGTTGGGACTCTCCTCACTTCAGTGCGTGCAGCCACATGGGGCAGCGCTCATCACCTCCGTTTGGACAGGGGAGGGAGATAATGGGTTAGAGAGCACATTGACTCTGAGATATGGTTCCACAGCCTTCACCGGTCACAGTCCCGCCCAGGCTGGGATAGAGAGAAAGAGTTTCCATAGCGACGGCAGCATTCCACATTTCTTCTGAGGGGAGTATTCACTTCAGCCTCACAGGCTTCAAGGGCACCAGATTCAGATAAAAATTGTTTTGGGGACAGCCAGAGATCATTTCCTCTCTGCCTTAGCGTTCTGTTGGTCTTCAACCCCTCTAGATCCAATAATGGCGTAATTAATCAATCCCAATCCGTGCTGATCCGTCCACTCGCTCCTTGATGGTATCCACCTTTTGGTGGAGTGCATGTTTTTGAGATTGACATGGTAATGATCACAGCTGGACTCATGTTACAGTGGATATGTGGTTTTTATAGGACCCTGAACTGGTCTCATCACTTTCTCACAACTGCATGTGCAACATTCCTCAACCTAAAAATCAAACTTTTCTGTTCATTTCTTTTCTGTCTGCTTGTTTTCGTTCAAATAAAAAGGTTTCAATCTGCCCAACTAGCCTCAGCAGAGCAGTAGACCCAATGGTAAATATTTGTTAATCAGTGGAAAATGTTGAATGAAATGAACTTCAGTGCATGTTCTTGTTCTGCTCTGCAGTAGGGGACAGATAAACGCTGGAGGTCTGCTTGGCTTTAGGAAGGTGTTTCTGAATTCATTGACTGGTTTGTGACCGAGAACAATAACCAGATCAATAATCCTCTAAAACAGTCAAGTTGTTTTAGTTAGTTAACTATTTTAAACTATTTGTTTGTGTTGGACACATGAAATCCACCTTAGTCAGCACAGAAGTGTTAAATCTGTTCATTTCATAAAGTACCCTAACTATTTGAGTGAAACGTGGCATTTGGATGGAGTTTGTGTAGTGAAATCCTGGACTTAGACTCCTACTTGTAACCTGCTGTAACAACTTAATACTTAAAGACGTATGCAGAGTTGATCCTAAGGGTCTGCTCTACATTCTGAATGTCCACTCGGGCGTTTATAGGTTCTTCCTTTGGTTTGAAAACAGAAGGCACAGATAATTGGAGGTGTGACATTTTGGATTTGTTCATCAACCCAATTTCAACTGAATCTTTTCTTTATCATGTTTGTGAGATTAGATAGCAGGAAGTGGACCTCCAGTCTGAATGTTACCATACAGGTTTAGAGTAGGACAACTTACATTATTATTATTATTATTATGTTTTCATTGAAATTCAGAGTTAATTTGCCAGCTGTGTTGTACATGTTCCTTAATACCCTTTGCTTTTATCCAGAATAGAGCGTATGACATTTTCTATTGAACTTTTGGAAGTGAAACCTGGAGTTGCTTTGTTATGTCAAACTTTTTCCACTCTGTACTTCTGAACTTGTGTATCTTCCTGTGTGCAAGTGCTGCATGTTTGTGGTATTCATTCCTCAAAGTGTTTGTGAAGATACTGTCAATGATTTATGGTTCTGACTTCTAGAAAAACCTATTGTTTCCCAGAATGTTCAAATAAAAGTCAATGGCACATGTGGAAAAACACCTGCTGACTCAATCATTGTTGGTATTTCTATTGTGGACAGCAGTAGCTCAGGAGGTAGAGCAGGTTGGCCGGTAATCGGACAACCTGTCCTGCATCCTGGTGGTGGTCAATCTGTGCTATTTACAGTATTCCAACTATAGTGATCCTGTTTCAGATTCTGGATGTTTTTTTTTAATCTGTTTCTCCTTCTACAATTTTTCAGCAGTTTCAGCAAATTTGATATCAAAATGTTCAACTCCTTCAGCTGATTAAGGGCATTGCTTTTGGTATGGATATCTTTAATATTTTGTGAGATATTAAGCTTTTTCTGGTAGTTTTTGGCCCATGAGAATACACAGGAAATTCTTCAAGTCTTTCACTTTTTCACAAAATCTTTTAACTTGTTTGAACTTTAAAAACTTTGGCATACTTTAACCTAGAGACTTCAAAGTTTAAAGCGGTCACAAGACATTCAGCTGCTTGCCTATGACTCAGCTTCTTGATATACTTTACTGTTTTCCTAAAATCACAGGTTAAAGTTGAGGCACGACTTCAGAAAAATTCACAAAAATTTTAATGGGAAGAGAAAGGAGCGATGACCCTCCCTTGCTCCATTTCAGACATTGTTCTGACAGAACCGTGTATTCTATCAAAATGAAAAGCACGCTCACATAAAGCTAACAGATATTCCTACAATTTTTCATGAATGTACTCCAAAAATTGTTGTCGTAGCATTCATTTGTTTGTGAATGTTTGAGTTTAAAAAAATGTTCTGCCCACTCAAATTTCATGTGACCTTTGGAGTTGGATTGCTTTACAAAATTCTGCTACAACTACATGTTTTAAAGTACACACATGAATTCCTCAAAACAGTAGGTTTCTTTTTAAGCTTCACATGGCCGTTTCTTCCTATGTGCAACCTATGCTGTTGCATAGGGCCCCAAGCCACTAGGGGCCCCCAAAGCTGCTGCGATTGTGTCGATGGCGACACAAAGAGGCTTTCATGGTAATCAACAGATTCTGAAAGCTGAGACGATGTACTTTCCAGTGGTATACAATACATTACGGTAATGTTACGCAAGTCCCTGCCCTAGAACCAGGAAATAAACAGTCTGCCATGTGCCGTGCTCATAGAGGAGTGGAGGAATTGTTTCGGACACGTATTTTCAACATCTATCTCTTCTACTGGTGTACATAATAATTATTTTCAATAAATTTCCTACTTTATGTTTTTATTTAGTAGTTTCAGATTATATTTAGTCACATTCAAAGATACTTTATTAATCCCAGAGGGAAATTAGAGTTTCAGTACACACAATTCTGAGATCAGACATACATACATAGGAATAGACTCATGACAAGAATTGGTGACTGTGGTCATTCGCAACCCGAGTTGCGCTACCTTAATAGAGATCAGAGGGGATTGAGTCAGGTGGAGGAAAAAAGGCACTTCAGGGAGGGCAGCTTTGCTCTGCAAAAAACACCTCAGACAGAAATGTAACAGACTTCAGACATTACACAACTTAAGTGTCCACTAGGTGGGGAGGTAGGGTAGATGACTCTCCAAACATCAGTGCATTAAGCCACAATAAACAGCGCTCGTCACCTCCATTAGGACAGGGAAGGGAGGTCATTGGGTTTAGAGAGCACAGTGACTCCTGGAACGATTCAACAGCCTTCACCGGTCACAGTCCCACCCAGGCTGGGATAGGGAGACAGAGTTGCCATGCAGCATTCCACATTTCTTCTGAGGGGGGAGTTATCGCTTCAGCCTCACAGGCTCAAGGGCACCAGATTCAGATAAGAACTTGTTTTAGGGCCAGACAGAGATAATTTCCTCTCTGTCTTAAAGTTCCGTTGGTCCTCAACCCCTCTAAATCCAAAAATGGCGTAGTTAATCAATCCCAATCCGTGCTGACCCGTCCTTCTGTGCCAGAGTCTGAATCTCAGCCAAAGTTCCAAGCTTACGACTCATCTCGACAATTATATGAGTGTGTGTTCACAGCGCGGTGTAATCCATCCCTGAGCTTCGGGATTGAGCCAAAATTCCTTGACAGCTCATTAATTTTCCGGTCAGCTAGATAACCACTCATGCCAAAAAGCAGGAAACCTGACACCAACACCACAAATATCCAGACGTCTTCAGAATCCTCTACAGACAGTTGGGAGAGGCAGATCGGGTTCCACTGTTTCCAGGAGTCCATGATATGCCCAGCTGGCTCTGTCCCAGAGAGGCACCCGAGAGCCCCTTCTCCCGTTCTCATCGTTGAAAAAATCTTGTCAATCGCGTTGAGAGACCAGCTGACCAGGTCCATTTTAATAATTTCCAGTTTACAGAAAAAATGCAGAAGCACCGTACACCCAAAGATAGACAAAGAGCCTTGGAATGAGATGGGGAGGAAAGGAGGAAAAAAGTGTCTGTACTCTCCAAGAGCCGGAAGAAGAACATTGCTTTGTCGTTTTTTGCACTGGTTCGGTCACCCGTAGTTTTGTCTTTTTTCAGCTGCGATTTTCACTGAGGCTTTTTATTATTTTATACGTTAGATTTGTTTTTATAAATAAACCAGAAACCAGGAAACCCTCGAGAAAGAGGAAACTTCCCTGAAAAGTTTTTGATGAGGAGCAAGATGGCCCACGGTTTTTTTCCATCCCAAATGCTGTAAGTATCTCTGCACTTAACCCGTTCCAGTTTCTATTTCCTAATATTTCTGCTAATACTATTACAATATTATTATAGACTATTACCGCTACTTCCAGGAAAACAAAAGGTCCATGTACATCTGTGGTTGAGGATCCAGGTGTGGTTGATCAACCACTTGATAAACCCATAAACAATTTCAGGAGCAGCAGTGTGCACAGGATGAAAACCCTCCAGTGACCTCCGCTCAAGGTCACATCCCTGTCCCCTGGACCAGTGGAGAAGGAATGGAAAAGCACAGAGGGCAGGTCAGGGATGAAACAGGAACACTCTGTGCAAAAATAAAAAATAAAAAAATAAAATAAAAAAAACACTCCCTGGACGTGGAAAGAGTGCCAGAAATAGTTTAATCTGCAACAGGACAAGAACTGCTCTGCAGAAATACCACAACAGCTAAAAACACCTGAACATTGAGAGACAATGTCTACGGAAACTCAGACACTGAAAGCTTGATTTCTGCTGCTTCAGAATTTTTGTTCATGTACATTTACATTTTCTATTCAGGAATTTCTGAAGAAAAATCAAATGCTTTTTTAATTACAGTTATAGCATGCTGTTTTGGTTTAAAATCCCAATTATAAACCACACACCAGCTTTAAATGTTAATAGACCAATAAAACCAGAGTTATACTTAAAATAATTAAATCTCAGACCATCAGAAAGATTGTGATCTCGACCACTGTCTTTATACAGGAATCTTTAATCAATTGTTGTCGTACTTGTTCACATGCGACCCCTTTATTATGGTATGGGTGTTGTGAACAACCCTCCCAGGGTTGAGGTCTGCACTCTGACTGCTTTCTAGTTTTTATTACTTATCTTTCTTGAGTGAGTGTTTAATTTTAATACTGTACCATGTTTTGCTTGCAACTTTTGACAATTCATGGTGAGTTTAAAGATGATCAATTGCAGTTTGTCAAAATAGGGGGGCCCCCACAATGCTAGAAACAGCCCTGTAAGGGAGCATCCAATAGAGAGTGTGAGGGGCCACAGATCTGCCCCCAAAGATGTGTAGGAGATGGAGGGAGCTACAAGTCCCAGAAATCCAGGAGCTGCCCCAGAGCGCAGGGACCCCAGGGAGACTGCAACCAGAAAAGCCCCTGCCCCCTCAAGAGGCGCAGAGCATTGCCCCGAGGGATCACAACCAGCAGCCGGCAGAGTCCCGGGAGATATCAGCAGCAAGACCACAGACTCGCCTGCAGCCTCCCACCCCCTAGCCGGCAGAGCACGGAACCCAGCGACCCGGGATCCTGGGGCGACCAGCCCCGCCGGGGACCCAGCAGAGCCCAGGGACCCAGAACCCACCAGGCAGCCACCGGGATTAATCAGGCAGACGCCAAAAATCTTAAACCCCCTGACCCGGGAGCCACGAACCCTCATGCAGACCAAGGCGCCACACCAAGTGTGGCAGGGGGAGGGGAGGCGAAGATCTATAGCATCAAAAAGGGAGTTTTCCTCTCCACTGTCGCTGCATGCTTGCTTAGTATGAGGATTGCTGTATAGTCACTGACACTCGTCAGTGACTTGATGCAATTTGCTGGGTTCCTTATATAGGAAACATTATTTCTGATTGGCTTAATGAACTGTGAATTGGAATGTTTATTATGTGGAGTGCCTTGAGACGACTCTTGTCGTGATTTGGCGCTATATGAATAAACTTGAATTGAATTGAATCAAAAGAAGTCCCAGGAGACGGGAGGAGTCAAAGGCCCCACCTGACACATACAGTCATACACAGACACAGTCACACACTCCCTTCCTCATGCTCACACATGCACATACAACCCAAGACTTACAAAAATGCATGCCAGACACCCACTCATATTCCCCATACACACCCTATTCACTCTGGTCCCAGTATTGCTGCACATGGGGTACAACCATCACCGCTTCCCAGAGTTTGACCCTTTCTGCTGGGGTGCTGATTAGCAGGCTCCCCTGCCCAATGCTGAGCACAGCAACCCACCAACCCAGACCCCAACCGGACGACCAGATCTCCCTCCTAGCCTCCAGCCCCAGGAAGCCTAGCAACAACAGAGGTGGCTAAGACCCCTAGTCTCCCTCCGCCTGCTCCAATATAGTGTTGTGTGATCATGAGGTGTATTACATGGCTGTGGTGAGCGGGCATCGTCTGGCCTATGCCAGCTGATGCCACCACACCACCCCACTTGCACCCACAGCTCTCAGTGTCTAAATGCAGTTTAAAATTGGAAGTGGGCACCGGCATTTGGGATAAGGCTGTCACGAGCTTAACTGGCGGACCCGTAAGAAACACCAGACACAGAATGACAAGTTTTAAGAGTTGTATTAAGAAGGGGAAAA